TGGTGGTGGTGGTGGTGGTGGTGGTTGATGGTGGTGGTTGGTGGTGGTGGTGGTAGCAGCCACCACAAGTCCTGTTCAAATATAGCATCACATTTTTGGATGTTCAGTGTTCAGTGGAGGACGGTGAAAAAACTGTGTGACGAGTGCCTAGGTTCGAATTAGCTAGCACCTCCGAGGAAACACAAACCTGCTGTTTCCCATAAGAATATCTGCTAGATTCCTGAGTGTGCAAACTCTCTGCATAAGAAGCATCAACTGAAAAGACTTACTGTAAGTTTTATGGCCTTCTCTGGGGCAACTCCCAGTAACTGTGGCAACAGACCTAAAAAGCAACAAAAAGTATATTAAATAAATTACCGTTAACTAAACAAATCAGCAACTCTAAAGAAGGGACCACCATCTAAACACTGGGGTAATCTCTGCTGCGATTTTAGGCTATTACTTTTAATGAGAATACTCGAAATGGAATGTGTAAGTACAAATGTGTCTAAGAGCCACATCAGGACCAAGTAAATTCCCACTCATATTCTGGGTCGTTTGCACATTGGGTAAATCAACAGTATTAGTGATATAGTAAATCTCATTATTCCATAAGTTTGTTCTTTTCCCTCCTGCCTCTTAAATACATGAAATAAGTGTACTTTAGCCACTATATTATTTTTTTCTAACACTTTTCTCATCTGCCCACCCCTGGAGGCCCACAGTTTAGCCATTCATTCATTTAGCAACTATAACTTGGTGATAAGCACAAGACAAACAAGGTTCTTGCTCTGACCAGCCCCAGGTGGAAGGAAGGGAGAGGCTTTACTGAAGACATGACAACTGGGGAAAAATGCATTCTGGAAGGGAACAGATAAGGCAACGAAAGCAGAATAGGAACAAGCCCGGTGTGCTCAAAAATGAGGGTGAACGTCGGTGAGCCACCTGGCACAGAGCAGGCCCGAGCAGGCACAGGTCGGGGCCGGATGCTATAGACGCATTGTAGGCCAGGAGCCTAAGTCAGATGAGAAGGAATTACAAGCCTCCATCAGGAGAGTGATATGCTAATTCATATTTTAAAAACACCACTCTGGCTGCTGTGTAAGAAGACAGGACGTGTGTGTGTGTGTGTCTGTGTGTGTGTGTGTGTGTGTGTCAAAGAAAAACTGGGTTTGACGTGAATACCTGGGGAGAGATGAAGCCTGGGGAGAGTAACAGGTTTGGGGTGGAAAGTGAAGAGTTCTGTTTTAAGATGTTGAGTGGGAATTACGTATCAGAGCACAGGAAGAGGATGCCTTTGACAGGAAAGGGCCGCTTCTGGGAAAGGCACTCACAACAGGAGCAGACCGATATAGGTATACTAAAAAATGTTATCATTTTCATTTGTTCTAAGAAAATAAAATGAAAGGCAGATGCTTTTTCTTGGAAACACACTGTGAGCTAACCTTGAGGATCAGAATGCATTGTTCTCCCATGTCATACTGCTGTCCTTGAGAGGGACTTCACGGTGTTAGCCCTTGTTGGTAACAACAATTTTCTAATTCGTCAACCTAAGAAGGTCTACTTACAGTCTCTTCAGAGAGACCAGCCTGGCACACACCATCTCCCTAAGCCTGTGGCCAAAAGTCACTAGCCTGAGGGCTGTCTGTATCCAGTCTGCAGATGTGTTTTATTGAGTAGTACAAGGTTTCAAACGTAATTCAAGCTTATTGTAAAGATGTAAAGACAGATCGATCAATCAATGGATGGACTGATCTGACAGCCCTTGGCCTCTTTGACATTATGGCAATCTGCTCCAGTTGGGTGAGGCTCTGCCTGTTAGGACTGAGCATCGGTTCACTAAGGCCCCCCACTCCCTAATGCCGACATGGGACTGAGGACAACTGTCATTCATCATTTTTCTTGCTCTGCTGCTATCTTCACAAGAGAGAAATGTTTTTCTGTGCCTCTGGTTCTACAAAAAGCACAAACAGCTTCATGTTTTAGGAAAAATGGGAGAAAGCTCATTTCATTGTGGAACTCAATGATAAGGATGCTGATGCTAATGAGAATGTTCTTTAAAAACAGCTGACCTAAAAACAGCTAACGTATTACTTATGATGTATCAGACACCACCTTAAGCACTTTACTGACTCATTTAATCCTTATAACCACCCTGCAGAGAGGAAAATGAGGCACACAGAGATTCATCCATTCTGAATCACCCAGCTAATAAATGGTGAGGGTGGGATTCCAACCTGAGCCCTCCTCCTCAAGAGTCCATGTTTTTAGACAACACTCACCCATCCTGTGCTCCACAGCAAACATGTATCTGCCTCTCACACCCTGCCTTTCTTCACGTACATAACCTGCCTGATCTTGGATTTGAGTTTGCAATGTCTTTTCTAGGCTGCCATATTTGGATCCTGCTTCACGCAGGCCCACAGGTGGTCGCACAAGGATAAGAAACCTAAAACACGCGCAGGCCATGAGTCCAGCAACCCGGGACCTCTGAACTGGTAGCGAGCCAGTGGGGAGTGTTCGTCCAGGATCGCGACAGAGCCCTGAGAGTGAAGAGCCAGTCAGCACAGAGGCACAGACGGAGCAGACGCCCTGTGGAGTCGGGAGGGTGGCCGGCTGAAACCCTGGGTGGCCTACTGCCTCAATGAAGCATGAGGAGCAGAAGCGTAAGAAAAGAAGTGGACGGACAGACAGAAGAGAATGTGAAGCCAGTGCAACAGAGACACCAAAGAGAGAGAACACAGCCCATGAAGGGTGCACAGGTGGGGAGAGCGGCCCTGACCATCTTCTGGTCCCTCTGAGGCCAGGTCCCAGGGACATTCCTACCCTGGAATCAGATCTCTGTCTTCTTTCTCCCTCAAGTAAACTCTTACCAAAACTCTGCTCTCACTAGGTGGAGGCAGGCTATGTATGCTCTTTATAACCTAAATGAACCAGAGCAGCACAGAAAACATGAATACGAAACCATTTGGGCCAAGCAAGTGCTTATTCCAAGTGAGCACTCTCTCCTCCTAGACTACATTCACTTATGAATCTTTTACTTATACCAAATGACAGAATACAATGTCTCTAATATGAGGAGAGAGGCTTTGTTAATAACTTTATACAACTACAATGCTAATTTCTACAGGTAAAATATAGGGTTTGCACTGTTTTAACTACACCTTAACATTTACAATTTCCATTTTCCTCTGTATTCAGGTCAAGTACCAAAATGTTTTGTTAAATATTTACTCACTAGATGTATTTTTCTCATCATTAAATTGTAGACCAAAACCATGGATGGGCTGAAAGCACTGTGATTTAAATGATGATCTCTTATCTCTGTAACTACCCCGTGACAGTCTTTTAAAATGACTAATAAAAAACAGCCCACGGAGCCAAATGACTACAGTGTTAAGACACAATCACTTCAGCTAGCCTTTTAAGCTATCGAGATTTGTCTTTCTCACTATAAATTTAGTAATGTACTGTGAATAGCAAAAACAAAACCAAACAAAAGAGAAAGCCCTGTATTTAAGACTAAATATAGGGCAGCAAATATTTATTTGTTCAGCAAACATTTACCAAGTGCCTTCTGTGCACCTGGGACTGGAAGGAACTGGGATGGACACAGTAAAGTCTGTGCCCGCCCCCCTGTCCCAAGAAAAATTCTCAGTGTAGAAGAAAAGGGAACCCCTAGGTATCTCTGTGTGCCCCTGAAGGGAGATAAACCACCTAAAAAAAGAGTGGTGAGTACCAGAGCCAAGAAGCATCAAAGAATTATGTGAACACAGCGGAAAGAACCAGGAAGAGGGAGGAGAGCACCCTGGGTCTTGAAGGCAAGGCAGAGGTTCACCGGAGAAAAGAGATGTGGGTAGAACATAGGGCGCCGTGGCCAGTGAGTGAAAGGCACCCAGGTCTGAAGAGCATGGCACAGTCAGGGTTAGGGCAAGACCACTGAAGGCTGTGGCTGGATCACGGACCTGGAGATAAGTAACCGCAGTAGTGACAGTGACAACGGCGAGTATTCGGGGGCACCTCCCACAAGTCAGGAACTATTCTACAGGCTTTAGGTGAATCAACACATTTAATCCACACAAGTCAAAAGAGTAACTCAGTGCAAGTTATGCTTACCTCATCAAGAGAAACTGAAACAGACTTTAAGGAGCCTGCCCAAGGTCACTCAGCCATTAGATGGGGGAATGGGTTCAACCCAGGCGGTCTGGCTGGAGGGGGTGCTCCTATCTGGTGCATCATACTGCTTCTCTCCCCGGGCACACTAAGGAGCTTGTGCCAAATTCTGCAGATACATGGGGTGGCTTTTAAAGTAAAGAGTGAAGTTCAAAGAGTAAAAAGTTCTAGAGGCAAGTGAAGGACAGATGCTAAGGGCAGAGACCTAAGGCAGGGAGAGTAATCAAGAGGTTAAGTAATATAATCGGAGGCCCTGAGTTTCACTAAATGAGTAACTTCAACTCAGTAAGAATAAAACCAAAGTACAGATCCATTCCTAAGACTTGGGCCAGATGTTGGCACATGGGGACGCACTGGATAAGGACCATTCTTGTGGTGACTGCCCTGGGTAAGTGGGGAAACAAAGGCAGCTGTGGACTGCAACCCGAACCGAGTGCCACTACGGACTTGGGCCTGGACACTGGCAGCCCTGCGTAAATGCTCTCCGGAAAGGGTCATGATCTGTGGGACAATGAAAAGTCACAGCAGTGGGAATTTCAAGAACCTTCCTGGTTCCCTGACTGGGGGGGGGGGGGGGGATGTGGCTCAGTAACGCCTAAAACAGCCAGTCTTGTTACGGCACTTCAACACGATCACAGTGAAGTTTAAAGTACATATATGTTTGACATCTGGGTAACTCCGCAGAAAAATTAGGCTTCTAATATAAGATGTTTCTGTTGGATTCTGGAAACTCATTTTAACAGAGAATGGATGTGTGTGTTGTTTCTAACCTGTCAAAACAGCAGTCTATTTTCCAACTGCCTCAAATGAAATTTATTAGTGTGGTTAGTTTTCTAATCTTCTCATTTTAGTTCAGCTCCATCAGCACATATGGCAATGCTTCCTTGGCAAACTTTACCAGAAGGCTGCTAATGTGAGAAAAGATTTACAGGGTACAATATTAATATAGTATTTTGTCTTCAAATTTCATAGGTTTGAGATCTAAATCACACTAGTCCCTTTGATCCCAGTCCCTTGTGCAACCCAACAAGAACTGCACTGGACGTGTGGGGACTAAGCCCACATCAGGAACCTCCAACATGAGCTCCCTACGGCACCCCAAAGAGGTTCCTGGAGCCATGTGCTGGATCAGAGGGCTATGTTATTCTTTACTTAAAAACCTTTTAGAAA